ACCTGCCCCTCGCTACCTCGTATCTCGATGCCGCGAAGCGCTACGAGAGGCCCAGCAAGGTCGCAAGCAGCTTGATCCGAGCAGCGAAGTCAGCTCCCAAGGATGAGAATGCAACCGCTGCCAAAGGCAAAGCCAAGAAACGCAAAACCGCGGAGGGAGCCTAGATAATTTCTAGGCAACCGGGGGCAAGCTACCCTGATGGGCATATGTCATATGCTGTTCATATATGCTAGCCTTAAGGCCTTAAGGTCCTGCTGCCGAATATGTTGTATTACTTGCAATGGCATGTCCATCGGGCTTTTTGCCAGTTTCATGTACTTCCAGTTCCCGACACTGTAGGCAACATCGTGTTGCCCTGCACAGTGTTCTCTCGACTTTCAATCCTTGGGGAATCGTCATTGTCGAGTCAGAAAAAAGCTTGTGCCCACTGCCTCCGCAGTTATCCCGTGATCAATGAATGTGAGTATACTTCGTAACAGGTACATGGCTTTGACGCAGTCTGGTCGCCCTGCATTTACAACCCGCCGCCGTGGGATGCTGCTGGGACTGTACTAACCTGTCACTGAGTGCGTCACTTCAGCACACAATCAACGTGAAACGTGCCAACTGACCAACTGAGGACCCCAGAGGAGTTTGACTCTGATGGTGCAGCTTTACTGGCTGAACGCATGGGTGCTGGAGACTCTTGACCCGTCTTTAAGTATTCCAAACATGTCAGATGTTTCATGTGTTATTCCATGTCTGTGTGCAAGCCACATAAGTTGACCCATGCCAAGGGTATACCTGTGGCCGAGAGCAGCAGAATAGCATCTGCCTTTCAACGAGACGGAGCGTCTGGACGTGCTCTTGCACAAATGGCCAGCAGCGAACGGGAGAGGGATTTCTTCCGCTGGCTCAAATTGCCCATCCAACCTCTGATGGTGGACTTGCCGGTCTGGAGTAACACCAAGGAACGCAAAGACAGGCAACTGATACTGGAGAAAACAGCTGTGATTCTTCCCAGCGACGTGCTCTGCGAACTCTGCAAAAGGTCGCTCTTGGAAACCTGTCTTATTGGACATTCGCACCTCGGCGCATGCCTAGCTGTTGTTTGCTGGGTTACCTATTGCTCATGTGGACGTGCAGTCCATCCTTTACCTGGTATCTCAGGTCCATAGATGAATGGTGGCGGCAAGAACCGGACACCGTCTACCTGCAGGAGATTTCCCGAAACAACTCCAGCTACCAGGACATGCTGCCACTCCGCTTTCATGAAGATGGTGTGCCTACAACCAAGAGCGAGACGTGCAACTTCTGGTCCTGGACCACGCCGCTGGCTGGCCGTGGCAGCGAGATCTCTCGCTTCTGTCCCTGGAGAATAAATCCCCAAAAGCGGGGAACCCAATTAAGGACCTCTAGTGCTCGGNNTGAGGCTATCGGATTTCCAACTTTTTGGCTTCTACTGTATGCTCCAACCAGCTGAGGCATTGTTGGCGTCACCAACAGCCGCATTGCAGCGGAAACGAGACGCTGCATCGCTGACATTCTTGCGTGGGATCTTGAAGTGCTGGAGCGCGGCGTTTTTCCAGCTTCCGACCAGAACAAGAATCCCTGGCCCCGTGGCTCAGCGCGAGCCCTGAAGATTGGACAGAACGTTGGAGTGAGGGCTTGCTTTGCATACTGGGCTGGAGATATGGAGGCTCATGCAAAATCCCATTCGCTT